AAATCGGTCATAGGCTCCGGTGCACATACATAATCATAATAAAGTACCAAAACATAACCATATAATACTGAGGAAACATAGATGTATAGAAATATAGAAAGGATCGTCAAAGCACAATAGAAACACATCAAGCCAGTAGCTGTCACACCTTCAACACATCTATATTCTAAAAAGATATTAAAGAAAAATATACAGATTTAGAAAACACTAACGGTGCATGAAATCAGCTCTTGATAAATAAGACAGAAATATATAAATGGACCCAGGAATACACAGATACCTGAAGAGAACACGGCACATATATAAAGATATATATAAAGATATCTGTGAACAACATGGACAGTCAAAGGAAAGGTCTTCAGACCGCGTGGTGTGAAAATGCTCAGTGTATATATCCCGAAAGGTACAGAGTCAATATCACTTCTATAGTTTCAATGCCAGTGTATCTGAGAGTGGATATACTGTGCTGGGCGTTTTACATCCTGGTTACAAACAGCACATCTGTGTTCAGTAATCCTAGTTTTAAGGGTTCTAGTTGTTTTTTCAACATAAGGAAGCCCACAAGGACATTTAAGATTTTATATATATATTACATATTCCACATTACAAGATATAATGCTCTTGATACTGAAGATTCTTCCTGAGTGAGGACGACTGAAAGTATATAAACACTTTTATATGTGAAATGACACTGTTGACAATTCCCACATTTGTAACTGGCTGGAGGGATGTGACGGAGAGAGAGTGTGAAGCAGTGGGTGGAGGCGAGTCTGCTCTTACTATTACCAAGATGTGGTGGTCTTTTATATAAAGGAAGGATTATTGAACCAACTTTTCAGTGAGGGGTCTGTATCAATGATGTGCCAATGCCTCTTCCAACAGGTGAGCACCGAACACAACAGGTGACCCTGGATACAGATTCCTTTGATTTAACTCTGTTAAGATATTCAGTTTGTGAGATTTCATCAAAGTGCCTGGATGCCTCTGTGATCCACTCCTCCTCATAAGCCCCTTTTTTCTGAAACGATCCTTAAGTGGAGCTGATTGATCCTGAAAATCCTCATCCGAGCTGCATATCCTTCTGATCCGGCTGAATTGTGAGATAGGGAGGTGTAGTGTGGTAAGAGTTGCCACGTATCAATGAATTTTTATCTGTACGTTTCTGATTAGAAATGAGGTTTTAAGGTATTCCCCTCTCTGATCAGTAGAATTCACAGATATAGAAAACCGAAATGATTTTTCAGATTAATGAATTTAAAACCTTCAGCTCATCACGTTGTTCCTCAGACTGTTCCACACTTTATATTCCTTCTTCTTACACAGTGTAGCAGACACATCCCTCTCCACCAGGCTACAATATATGTCCTTTCCTGTGACTGTCCACAGATATCTTTATGTCCCTGTGTTCATTGATATATTTCTTATTTATGAAGAGGTGATACATGTGGTGATCAAAGTCAAGTCCAGCCAACATGAAGACAACAGCGTAGCGGTTTAACGGTGTCCTACTCTGTTAAAGGAGGCCACCAACAGAGGCTGGTCGTCACAACAGCTGAAGCGAAACGTCAAATTAAAAGCCAGAGATTGTACAGAGCAGCATGTGGTTGGAGCTCGCTGCGTTAGACGGGGCTCTGCGTTGTTTTCACAGATTGAGACATGACAACAAGACTGAATAAGGAGCGGAGGATGGCACGGAGGAAAACACAAACAGGAATCCAAAAAAAAAATAAGAAAACATGAATTCCTTTATATTTTCTCAAGGCTGCATTGAATGCCGACAGCTTGCCTCAGCAATGAAGCATGTAGCAGACAGAACTGCCCGAGGGCAGGAAGACGCACAACCACTAAAAAAAGAGAAAAACTATTCAATCAACTCCATTCTATACATTTTACAGAAGGATATAATTGAGCCTGTTTGTGGTTAACACACCGTCACAATGAGTCTAAACAAAGAAGCAGAAAGGCTTAATATCTGTAGCAGGAGAAGTTAGAAAGTATTGATGATATTCAGAGTTTAACTGAAAAATCAAAACAATGACCTTAAATCTCCTGAAGCTTCACTTGAGTACAATAATACAATAAGTGAACTGCTGTTGAACAGTCAATTTACTGTTGTTTCAGTCTAGGTTGAAGCTACATGTATTGATTATTGCAATTATCATTGATTTTACACTTCACAGTTTGTGAACAGGTCTCCGGAAGAACTGCTACATCTGTAAAAAAGTTGTGTAAGCGCCTGTTGTGGCTCCAGAAGGAGCAGCAGGAAGCCGGATCAATGTCCTCAGGTGATGTCACCTGAGTCAGTATCGGTTGGGGCTACGGACACCGTCATTAGGAGACCTAATTGAAGAGTGGAATGAGGCTAGCAAAAGTCAATAAAAGACACACAGTATCTTCTGGTGAAGTGGAGTGTGTTTGTCTCTTTTTTCAATTTTGTGATGAAACCATGAAAATGATTCTCAAGCTTAACGGTGACAGTAGCACAAGCACTGATCTAAAGTTTGCCTACATTAGCGAACAATATACACTATACTGCTCTAAGCCAGTGGTCATGTCGGTCCAAGAAAGGCTACAGTGATAAACCACTGAACTTTTTCTTTCAAAACATTTGACTTAAATTATGTTAAAAGCTTGTCCATGATGTCGTTAAAGGTCCTGTATCGTCTAAAAGCAGATGTCCATGTGTAGTTTGATTATAGATCAGGTCTAGGTTCTATATTAATACTGTGAAAGTATCAAAGCCTCAGTCCACAGAGAAATGCACACAGCCTGTATTCAGGCAGGCATTCAACTGAACCTTAAAACCAGCCGTCAGGACTTCTGGAACTTTGTGATGTCACAACAAAGCAGTCACCAAACCCCGCCCACCTGGGCCCACTATCTAAACCTTGCAGGATTTGGTTTCTTGTTTACCTGAAATCTAATATTTTTCTATTCGATTAACTCAGAAAAACAGTCAAAGCTCCAGAGAGAAGCTTGAGAGAGGAGATGTACGACTACATTGAGATGGTTTTTGATTCTTAAAACCACAAATATATCTTCTTATGGATCAACACTTCAAATAAAACACAAGAGAAGAGGAAAATATGGTCGTTTAAAGGCAGTTTTTATCTGACTAATCGTCTAATCGTCTGTTGTTTTTCCCACTTTAACAAGTAATTGCACAGAGATAAGAATTAATTTCAGTTTTCAGTCATTTTCTCCCTTTTGTTTTCTTTTTATCTCACATCACTCTGATTATATTACTGTTGAGTAAACATCAGTAACATTAAATCAAATTACAATCTCTCCAATGAAATCAGACACAGAGAATCTCCAGTTGCTGTTGTGTAATTGTTTGTTCTGCCTTTGTTTGTAATCTGATATATTTAACTGATGAAACTTGTAATCTAGGGAGCAATTACGACAAAAACTTCCAAATATTCATGACGTTTTCTCATATCTGCTTGTAATGGGTTTGCAAATAAAATAAAATAAAAACAGATTTGATGTGATGGCACCATTTCTTCTGAATCCACTCAAGTTTAATCTTTTTGAGCAGCTGTTTCATGACAAACTACAATAACATATTTACAGAAAGGACAGCTCTTATCTGTTTGTAGATAGCATTTAAATTTACAGTATTTTTGTGGGTTATCACGTAAAAGCTACTAAAGACAGATGAGTCAGGTTTTGAAACCAGAAGAAACAATTACCTGGGAGAGAAGCTGCGAATGAACCTAATTAGCGCTTAATCCTTGGAAATAAGAAGTTCAGCAGTTGGCAGGAAGAAAAGTGGAAAAGGGTCTTAGCCTCAGAATTTATGGAAAGGATCTGTGTGAATGTAGGAGGGCTTTGTGGAAGAGCAAAAAGAGACGCAGGAACAGACAGAGAAATATTGATGGAGTTGGACCGGAGTGTGTGTCTGGAGAATGAAGAATATGGGTAGGTGTAGGAACCAGAGAGGGGGTGTGGGGGGGTTGTTTGTGTGTTCAATATCACGCTCTGTCAGAAGCTGTAATATCTCTTCCATTTCATTAGTTGCTACATGAATAGACTTGACATCAATCAGCGCCCGCTCGGCTGATTGAAAGAGAAGTGCCTCAGCGTCAGAGAACATCACGGAGCATCATGGAACGAGCTCAGAGTCTGTAGGCGCCGGCTGCACCATGTTCACCTGGAGAGCAGCAGCAACACAACTCACAGCCTGATGTACGTCCACTGTCTGCAACTGAGCTTACAATACGTTTTTTTCTCCACCTTCTGACATGGCCACGAATGCACCAAACAGCATGAGTTTTGTCAGTTCACGTTCTCCACTGTAAAACCTTGCAGTGACAACATAGGCCTGCGTTTCACACCGTGCTAATATGAATGGAAGCCAATGGCGGTTGGAAGAGTAAAGATGTGTCCCGGTTCAGGGGCTGCATCCTTCAGAGGCAGCATTTGAAGGCCGATTACGTCACCGTGGCGACTACACTGTCCAATTTCGAAGACTCGTTGAAATGCGGCCGAGAAATGCGTCCCTCTTTTCCTGAGCAACGAAGGATCCCAATCTATCCCAAGATTCATTGCGCCAGTAATGAAAGCAAACAACACTGACAAGAGAGCCCGAGGATTACACTGTTAAATGTAAGTATTGGGTTTCAGCTCAGTTCGACAGCGAACGGTACAGCTGTTAAAACCAAGGTGAAAAGAAGTTACATGTTGTCAAGGTGGCCAAGGCGACAGGAGCCACGCTTTGCGACTAAGCAGTGAGGGTGGGAACAGCGAAAATCCTCCGTAGACTCCCAAAGGATTATTATTAGTAAATCTTAAAACTTTAATTGTACAAGTCGTATTTAAAACACTTAAAGTGCATGGAGTACCAAGGACAGAGTCATTCACCACAAATATTGACTGTTATTGATGGAGGCCTTGACTCTCCACCTCAGTGAGGAAATGAACCACACACACACACACACACACACACACACACATATATATATATATACTTCTTTTTTGCAGCGGTGGATCCTTACCTGAGCTGACAGTGCCATCTTTGTTGATGGAGGCCAGGACACAGGGAAGTGGATCGCTAGTTTTGTGTTGAACCTTGTCACTGGTCAGTAGTTTGAGCTGCTGCGATGTGACCGGTGGGAAGCGGTAAAAGTGGAAGGTGAAGTGGATGTTGTCAGGCCAGTCAGGGCCGACACCCGCCGCTGGTGTTCTGTCAAAAGACACGATTATTCAGAAAAATAACAAGTGCTCAGTGCAACAACATCAACAGTAAAGTGCATGTAAATAAATGCACAAGTGGTTGATTCATTATCATGAATATTATCAATTAAATGTTATCTGCGATTTTTTTCCCTAATTACAAAATCTATGTGGGGAGTGGAGAGGTATGCATCATTAAAAGCTGGGAGAGTAAATCACATTTCAATTAATGATTTACAGACAATTCCAGGGAAAAAAATAAAAAAAAATCAAATATGCATTTCGTTCACGTCCTATAGCAGAGCTGGTAATTCAGCTTTACAGCTACTTAAATGTGAAAACCCTATAATCAAAATGTGGATTAGAAATGAAAGGGCTAACCTTAAAAGTGGCAGTAATTTGTACCGCTCATTGAGGAAGTGTAAACTACGCATTACACCTTTGATTCATAATAAGTGGATCGCTCGGCTTCTTCAAAACTGAAGCCAGCGTGAAAACGTGTTATTAGATGTGTAGCAGACAGAAAAAATCTAAATATGGTTTTATTCTCGGTTCTCTGTTAACACAAAGTTCTTTTTTGTTTACTATGACTCCTATGGAGAAAAAAAAAAGTCTCCATGACTACGAGAACCTGCTGGTGGTGTGTATTCCTTTTCACACAAACACCACCCTCTGAGTGTGATTTCACACACACACACACACACACACACACACACACACACACACACGTCAGCTCACACTTACACTGTAGGTAGGGCTGAATTTCATTAATTAAACAGAGTAATCTAAGGGGGTGGCCCTGGTGGAGCAGGTTGGACGCTCATTCCTTGGTCTGCGGTTCGATCCCCGGCTCCCCCAAAGCATTCTGTCAGGAAATGCATCTGGTATAAAAACCTCTGCCAAATCAAAACGTGCGGATGGTGATCTGCTGCAGCGACCCGTCAACAAGAACAGCAATGAATCTACTAATCTCTTATTCAAGATACTAAAAATGAGCAAAAAAAGCTTCAGATCTTTGATGATTGACTCGTCGTCCTCTGACCGCGGACGTCATAATTCCCTTCTATTTGTCATATTTTACAAGCTAATTGTATTTTTACAAGATTTCCCTCTGAAATGAAGTGGATTAGACGTGACATATAAATACTCCGGCAAGTACAGATGCCTCAAAACTGTACCTGAGTAAATGTACTTCCACCAAAGTGAAAAGGGAAAATCTTTCTTTCTTTTTTT